TTCATTAAACCCAGCAACTCCCCGTGGGGTGCACCCATCCTCTTTGCTCGCAAAGCGGATGGAACTCTCCGTCTTTGCATCGACTATCGCGGTCTCAACCGCTACACGGTTAAGAACAGCTACCCCATGCCTCGCTTCGATGAGCTGTTCGACCGCCTAGCAGGCAACCGCTTCTTTATGAAGATTGATCTTTGTAGCGGTTACCATCAGATCCGCGTCGCTGCAGCCGACCAGCCGAAGACTGCGTTCCGATCGCGCTTCGGCCACTACGAGTTTACGGTGATGCCATTCGGCCTCACCAACGCACCCGCCATCTTCCAGAGGGCGATGAACGACATCTTGAGGGACATACTAGAGCAATACGTTGTCGTTTACCTCGACGATATCCTGGTCTACAGTCGTACCCTTGAGGAGCACCTCAGACACCTTCGTGACGTCCTTGACCGCTTGCGCAGACATGGCTTCTACGCCAAGCTCAGCAAGTGCCGCTTTTCCCAGCACAAAGTGGACTTCTTAGGACATGACGTGTCTGACCAGGGTCTCCACATGGACGACGCGAAGATCACTGCTATTGCGGAGTGGCCTGCTCCCACAACCGCCAACCAGCTTCGCAGCTTCCTAGGCTTGACCAGCTACTATAGCAACTTCATCCGGGGATACGCTAGGTATTCTTACGTCCTTACCTCCACCCTCCTCCGAAAGAACCCACTCTGGGCTTGGACACCCCTCCACGAGGACGCCTTCCGCGCCCTCAAGAAGGCGGTGACATGTGCACCGGTTCTTCACCTACCCGATTTTGATCGCCTTTCTATCAATACCACCGATGCGTTAGACTTTGCTGTAGGAGCAGTGCTTTCTCAGGTCTTCCCCTCCTCTCCTGATTCCTCTCATCCTCGTATCCCTCGCTTCCCACCACCTACCCCTACCACTGCTTCCCGACTGACGCCTACTCGTCCAGCTACTGACGAGGCTTCTATTGACTATTCTCCTATCATCGCCGAGGACGGCACTGTGGAGACTCGCTCAGGTGATTGTCCGATAGCCTTTTACTCCCGTCAGCTCCTGCCCGCCGTGATAAACTACACTGCTGATGAACGTGAGGTTCTCGGAGTAGTTTATGCCGCTCGGCACTGGCGTCACTACCTGCACGGGGCACCATTCACGGTGCGCACGGACAACTCTGTTGTCCAGGCTTTCCTGACAAAGCCGAAGCTCACTCCTCGACAGGCTCGCTGGGGGCGCGACCTATCCGAGTTTAGTTTCACCACTGAGCACATCAAGGGTGAGACTAATCGGGTTGTAGATGCCAAGTCCCGGCGCCCTGACCACGACTAGGAGCACATCCGGCTCTCTTCCATCTCGGTCACCACCGTCCACCACTCGGTGACCGACGAGTTTCGCACTCGGTACCGCCACTGCCCCGATTATCGTGACATCCACGCGACCCTTCGGAGTGGCAAGACCGTCCCGAATTACTCTCTCAGGGACAACGGTCTTGTGTACTGGCACGGTTCACAGGGCACCAGAGAGCCCCGTATTTGCGTTCCCTCCACTGGACAGCTACGTGTCCAAGCAGTAGCAGAGTTCCATGACCAGGCAGCTGCCGGTCATCTGGGCTTCCACAAGACGTTGGCTCGTGTGAGCCGCCTGTACGTCTGGCCGAAGCGCAAGGACTTTGTGAAGGACTACGTCGCAGAGTGTCCCACCTGTAAGGAGGTGAATAGTGCGAACCACCTGCCTTATGGTTTGCTCCAGCCTCTTCCTATCCTTGAGGGTCGTTGGCAGTCCATCTCGATGGACTTTATCGGTCCTCTTCGTCCTCTAACCCCTCGCGGTCATGATGCTATCCTGGTCGTCGTCGACCACTTCACGAAGCGTGCACGCTTTGTTCCGTGCTGCTATGCCATCAGTGCACGTGAGGTCGCAAACATCGTGTTTGACCGAGTCGTGCGTGACCACGGCTTACCTCTGAGCATCATATCTGACCGTGACCCGCGCTTTACCAGCCGATTCTGGCGACGGCTCCACGAGGTGTACGACACTCAGCTCTGCTTCTCCTCGTCTTACCATCCTCAGACTGATGGGCAGACCGAGATCACGAACAGGACTTTCGGAGATATTCTCCGAAAGATTGTTCGTGACGACTAGAAGTGGGATCTCCATCTTGCCCACGCGGAGATAGCCTACAACCACGCCGTCTTGCCAGCCACGGGGATGTCGCCTTACTATTGCGACCTCGGCTATCACCCTCGTGTTCCCGCGGACTTCCTTCGACCATCCCAGCTGCACCCCGACACGAGTTGTCCCGAGCTGGACGATTGGGTGACACACATGACGTCTATCATGAAGACCGCACATGAGAACATAGCCGCTTCCCAGACTCGCATGGCAACACGCGCGAACCGATCGAGGATGGATTATCCATTCAAAGTCGGTGATGATGTGCTTATCGACGCTTACCACTTACAGCTAGAAGCGGACACGCTTCGCAAGTTTCGGCGTCGCTTCTTTGACCCATTCCGCATCCTCCAGGCCGTCGGTTCTGATACGACATCTAGCCCGGTCAGCTTCCGTGTGAAGCTGCACGACTACCTACGCCGGACTCGTGTGCACGATGTCTACCACGTCTCGTTACTGCATCCTTACCGCAGAGCGTCTCAGCGTTTTGCCGGACGACCATACGAGCGCCCTCCACTCATCATGGTGGACGGTGACGAGGAGTTCCTCGTTTCAGACATCATTGGTCGCCGAGTCACCGATGACAACCCTCCCCACGTCGAGTATCTCGTACGTTGGAAGGGTTACCCTGATGAGGAGGCTACCTGGGAGCCCCTCGAGCACTTGCAGCATGCTCGCATGTTGGTGCGTGCCTATGACCGTGCTCGTCGTGCTGGGTTCACTGCTCCTCCTCAGCCCACTGACCCTCCTCCTTCTCCTCTGGCTGAGGAGACCGCTGAAGTYGAGCCTGCTCCATCTGAGGCAGACCTTCAGCAGCAGCCGGAGGCTTCTGAGCGTCCACAGCGCACTCGTCGTCGTCCTGCTCGATACGACGATTGACTCTGACTTACCTTCCCACGTCTTTGACTTCTCAGTACTCCATCCACATCAGTTTTGCTACTTCAGCTCGTCGACGCTGCGACTCTTCCTCGACGGCATTCCGGACTTCTCATCGTGGACGTCATTGGCAGCTTCATGGACTTCATCATGATCAGCTCTGCCTACTTCAGACGTCGCCACTCTTTTACCACTCTACCATGTACAGTACCCTGCTTGTATCGCATGATGGTCTCCTTTTAGCCGGGTTTCTCTGAGTTGGGCTCTCCCTTGGTATACGCATAGGCATCGGGACCGTACCGTTGCCCTGGCTTCCCATCTTATGGATCTAGCTCCGACCTCCCTCACTTTAGGAGTCATTTGTATGATCCCCTTACCCATCATCTTTCTACCCTTCGCCGGCCCTCACGCCCTAGTTAGGCAGCCCCGCATGCTTCATCTAGGTGTGCCCAATATACCAGGCTCCCTTGTTCCCTTGCATGGTCGACCCTCCATAGCGGTCACCCCTTAGTCGAGCCTTACCCGCCCTGATGGTCTATCTGTTAGGGTCATTGGTTTTGTTCGCTCCCAGTTCCCTACCCTCATTGAGCCTGATGACATGTGTTTTCCTCGGTCACTATGTGTGGATGCCCTCAGGAGTTTTCGATCCCTAGGCTGCATTCGCCACCCTCAGAGACCATCCCACCCTTTGGTTTGCGACACACTTCTCATGTGACATACGAATGTCTTGTTGATTGCTTTGTTGCTCTCAGACTGAGGCTACTGACTCCGACATTTCTAGGATTTAGCTGTTCTGCTTTTGCTGTTCTTAGGACTTATACACTAGTCAGTTGTTACCAGACTGAGGCTAGTGCCTCCAACATTCTAGGATCTAGTTGTCACTACTTTCTGCTTTCCTAGGACATGTATGCTAGTTAGTTGCTTTTGCTTTCCTAGGACATATATGTTAGTTAGTTGCTTCTGCTTTGACTTAGGTTGTTAGCTCTGACATTGCTGTTTTGTGACATTTTATATCCTAGGTTGCATCGCATGGACTCAGCATGGAGCTTGCTCCGCATCCTAGACTACTCAGGTTTTCTT